CCAAGCCCCCGGGCCGCATTGGCGCGTTCGCAGGTGGACAACTCATCAGCGTCGGCTGTTTGCCGCGCGGGTGAGCACTCCATCTGCCCTGGCCGTTGGCCGTGCAGGTGAGAAAAGTCCGCACGGGGGGTACTATAGTTTTGACCATAAGACGTCATGCTCTCGACGCCCCCTGCCCCCCCGTAGAATCTTAGCGACATATTTTGGGTCGGGCGGCGGTTCGACTCCGATGGGCTCTCACCCTGTAAGAATATAATAATAATATATATATATATATATAAAACAGGGTGATAATTACTCCGTCCCATTTACAATAGGGCCGGAAAACACTCCGACTTGAACCCATTCACAGTAAACCACTCCGTTTAGGTCACGTTTGATCGTCCGTGTCATCATCCCCATCGACCCTGTCCTTATCATGCCAACGCGATGTTTCATTGTATTCCTTGTTGCATTGATGCTGTGAGACCCTGGGCATCCTTCTCCAATGCGGTCGCTCTCGGTTCACTGGTTGGCTGTCCCAGAGGGACCACAAAGGCTCGCGAATCCGCATCAAGGCACCTTTGCATCCTGATCGGTCCTCCGCGGCACGCGTGACCAGCGAGGCAATTCTCATCTTATGGTCAAAAACTTTAGTACCCCCGAAGGGCAACATGGGTTCTCGCCGCCGCCAATCATCATCGTCATCTCCATCATCTTTGCAGCCGCTTTGGCTCAAGACCTTAGCAAGGATTTGCTCTGCTGTTGGTCACGGGGTTGACTGGCGTAGTGCAAGCCCGGAGGGCTTTGGTGAAGTTGCTCCTCACGGCTGCTGCGGCGTACTCGGTTGTGGTTCGCGAGCCCCGCAGAGCGGTGCTGGTTTTGGCTGCGTCGGAAGCTGCGGCTCATGGACTTGGACGACGCCGTGAAGAAGCGGCCCGTGCTGGGGAAGACGGTGTACAGGGCGCGGGTTCGGAGCGTCGTGAAGAGCAAGAAGGCACAGTCCGTGGGGGCGGCGCAGGCGAAGCTGACGAAGCGCGTCTGCAGGGAAATGGCGCGCAAGAAGGGCGCGGCCACGGGCTTCTGAGCGGGCCAAGCCCCCGGGCCGCATTGGCGCGTTCACAGGTGGACAACTCATCAGCGTCGGCCGTTTGCCGCGCGGGTGAGCACTCCATCTGCCCTGGCCGTTGGCCGCGCAGGTGAGAAAAGTCCGCACGGGGGGTACTATAGTTTGACCATAAGACGTCATGCTCTCGACGCCCCCTGCCCCCCCGTAGAATCTTAGCGACATGTTTTGGGTCGGGCGGCGGTTCGACTCCGATGGGCTCTCACCCTGTAAGAATATAATAATATATATTTAAAACAGGGTGATAATTACTCCGTCCCATTTAAAATAGGGCCGGAAAACACTAGCAAGGATTTGCTCTGCTGTTGGTCATGGGGTTGACTGGCGCAGTGCAAGCCCGGAGGGCTTTGGTGAAGTTGCTCCTCACGGTTGCCGCGGCGTACTCGGTTGTGGTTCGCCTCCACAGGGGCTCCCAGGACAGCGAGGTGATCGCAGCCTTTCGAAAGGTGCTCTGCAAGGCGCACCCGGACAAGGGCGGGGCAGACGAGCACACGAAGCAGCTGAACGCCGCGAAGGAGCGTCGTGAAGAGCAAGAAGGCACAGTCCGTGGGGGCGGCGCAGGCGAAGCTGATGAAGCGCGTCTGCAGGGAAGTGGTGCGCAAGAAGGGCGCGGCCACGGGCTTCTGAGCGGGCCAAGCCCCCGGGCCGCATTGGCGCGTTCACAGGTGGACAACTCATCAGCGTCGGCCGTTTGCCGCGCGGGCGAGCACTCCATCTGCCCTGGCCGTTGGCCGCGCAGGTGAGAAAAGTCCGCACGGGGGGTACTATAGTTTTGACCATAAGACGTCATGCTGTCGACGCCCCCTGCCCCCCCGTAGAATCTTAGCGACATGTTTTGGGTCGGGCGGCGGTTCGACTCCGATGGGCTCTCACCCTGTAAGAATATAATAATATATATTTAAAACAGGGTGATAATTACTCCGTCCCATTTAAAATAGGGCCGGAAAACACTAGCAAGGATTTGCTCTGCTGTTGGTCATGGGGTTGACTGGCGCAGTGCAAGCCCGGAGGGCTTTGGTGAAGTTGCTCCTCACGGTTGCTGCGGCGTACTCGGTTGTGGTTCGCCTCCACAGGGACTCCCAGGACAGCGAGGTGATCGCAGCCTTTCGAAAGGTGCTCCGCAAGGCGCACCCGGACAAGGGCGGGGCAGACGAGCACACGAAGCAGCTGAACGCCGCGAAGGAGCGTCGTGAAGAGCAAGAAGGCACAGTCCGTGGGGGCGGCGCAGGCGAAGCTGATGAAGCGCGTCTGCAGGGAAGTGGTGCGCAAGAAGGGCGCGGCCACGGGCTTCTGAGCGGGCCAAGCCCCCGGGCCGCATTGGCGCGTTCACAGGTGGACAACTCATCAGCGTCGGCCGTTTGCCGCGCGGGCGAGCACTCCATCTGCCCTGGCCGTTGGCCGTGCAGGTGAGAAAAGTCCGCGCGGGGGGTACTATAGTTTTGACCATAAGACGTCATGCTCTCGACGCCCCCTGCCCCCCCGTAGAATCTTAGCGACATGTTTTGGGTCGGGCGGCGGTTCGACTCCGATGGGCTCTCACCCTGTAAGAATATAATAATATATATTTAAAACAGGGTGATAATTACTCCGTCCCATTTAAAATAGGGCCGGAAAACACTCCGACTTGAACCCATTCACAGTAAACCACTCCGCTTGGGTCACGTTTGATCGTCCGTGTCATCATCCCCATCGACCCTGTCCTTATCATGCCAACGCGATGTTTCATTGTATTCCTTGTTGCGTTGATGCTGTGAGACCCTGGGCATCCTTCTCCAATGCGGTCGCTCTCGGTTCACTGGTTGGCCGTCCCAGAGGGCCCACAAAGGCTCGCGAATCCGCATCAAGGCACCTTTGCATCCTGATCGGTCCGCCGCGGCACGCGTGACCAGCGAGGCAATTCTCATCTTATGGTCAAAAACTTTAGTACCCCCGAAGTAGAACCTAAGCGCGCGCGAAGCGCGCGCGTGGTTCTATATATATATATGTATATATTTATACATTCAACACACACGCACACACGCTAATGCACACGCACCTACACAAACACACACATCCACACACACACACATGTTTTGGCGTCGCGGCGTCGCGCACAGCGTCGAGGCTTAGAACGTTGAAGAGTGCAAAGCGGGAAACGCGCGCGTCCGGCCTGATCAGAAACACACACATCCACACACACACGCACACACACACACATAGATACACACATCTGCCTCCGACGCGCCGAAGAGCCCAGCTGGCGGTGGGGATGACAGCGACTAGAGCTTGCGAATACTCAAAAAAACAGCTTTGGCTGGTCGTTGGCTGTGGAGGGTTGCGCTCAAACAACTTCCGCAGCGAGGCTTCCGCACCCCCGCGGCGAGCACTCGTTCGTTCTCCGGGGCGCAACGGCAGCGGACGGTGTACGCTCAGCAGCGGGACACGCGGGCCTGCATTGCAGTTGCGCTGCTGCGAGCGCGCTAGGGCCGAAGCAGAAGCCAGCCGCGAGCTCGGGCTCAGGCCACGCAGGACTCAGGAGCGGAAAAAACACACAGACACAATTAACCGTCAATCCCCAGAAAATATAGGAAAATGTTGGAAGTGGGGGGGAAGACGAGAATCCAAAAAATATAGAAAAATATGGGGAATCCTGGAATTTGTGTATTTATTTGTGTGTCCCAGGGCCCCTTGAAGAACGGCCGCGCGTTCGCCCCCGACAGATCGGAGGCGGCAGGGGGGGGGTCGCAGTTTGCGCCAGCCCGTGGCAGCGTCGTGCTGTTGTACACAATGAGCACAAGAGGGAAGGAGGCAGAAGCAGGGGATGAGAGAGAGAGAGATACAGTGAACCCGAATAGGAAGGATGGGCAACCGTCCCAAGGGTACCCTTGCATCCTTGCCTCCTCGGCCCATCCTTGGCCACTTTCGTTGGCCGCGCCCCGCTCGAAAAGCTTCGACGTGGCCTTTCAAGGCCCTTGCATCCCTATCGCGCATCCTTACTATACTGATTGACTGTAAAGAAAGAAGAGAGAGAGAGAGAGAGAGAGAGAGAGAAAAAAAAAAAAACATATATCAAATATAACACAAAACAAAACACGCAGAAAGAGAGAGAGAGAGAGACATAGAGATGGGACAAACAAAGACGTTGGGAGGCAGTTCTAGCAAGTGTCTGAGAGCAAAACGGGGAAAGGGGTTGTTTGTAACGCCTCTCAGGTCTGACGACAAGAAGGCGTGGTGCTGCGAGAACAAGCATATAGGGTGTTCGACAACATCTATGCCCTATGATTGCGAAGCTGGTTACTCGAATTGGGAAGCTGGTTGGTCTTCTGTGTATGAAAGTACCCCAGAACCGGTTCAATGTCTCAGAAGACGCACGGGTTTTGCAGTAGATGGCCTGAATGAATCGCGAAGGGGGGCAGTTCAGGTCAAAGAGGTACGTATAGGTTTTGTGTATGCTTCGAATCCCCAAGGTCCGACGACAAGAAGGCGTGGTGCTGCGAGAACAAAGAGATGGGTTGTCCGGCAACGACATCTCCACCTTATGACTGTGACGCTGGTTACTCGAATTGGGAAGCGGGTTGGTCTCGTGCGTGTTGGAACCATCCCAATTCTGTTCCAATCCAAAAGATCCGGAGAAGCACGGGTTCTCTCTCACCCGCGTGAGTTGTGAAGGGGGGCAGTTTTAGTCAAAGAAATGCGTTTGAGGTCGGGGTTTGTTTCCAACTCCCAAGGTCCAACGACAAGAAGACATGGTGCTGCGAGAACAAGAACATGGCTTGCGGAGGGACGAACCCACCTGCTGGTGCAGCAGACCCGATCCCCCTCCCTCTTCCTGAGAGCACCGTTCCTGTCCAGAGCGATGGGTCGCCGTGCGTGTGCACACAGCAGACGTCGGATGGGAAGTACCCGGCAGGCAGCC